ATTGTCTTCCACTCTCTGTTTTCCTTTTGTGTTTGTACACAACCGTATTTCCTAACGCCAAGGAGCCGAGTCAAATCAGAAGCCTATCCATAAGTAGGTAAAGCAACAACAGCCTTACCTAAGGACCGTTTGATGACACGATGTCCCTGGTTTGATGATTCCTTCTTCGTAGACCCGGTCACGGCGAGGTACACGGCGACGGCCAGAATCATCACCAGGGGCAAGGCTACCCCCACTGCCTTCTTCATGTTGATGAACTGATGTGTGAAGGAAAAAGGGCACTGTTATTTAGATCTAGCTAAAAATGCAGTCAAATCCATACGCCGACCATCTGGTCAAAACGACCGCTTATCATAGGCTGGTCACTTCTCTCTGAGCATAAGAGCTATCTACCAGGACATAGAATGTGTGACCCTAACATGTACAGATATATCAGAAGATGTCAAAGTATTTTGACATTACGCTGCAGTACCATAATAAGCCGCTTCGGGGCCAAAAATCTAATCATTTCTAGTAGGGTGTACCAAATTGAAAATGTTTGTGTTCATGGTACTTTCTATATGTACAGTGTATCAATATGTGAAAGTCAGCCAACTCGTTCCTCTTTTATATGGCGCTGTGCGATGGCAATGTCAGCTGCAAAAAAAACGCACAGTATCAGACGATATCTGTGTCCAGGCGCCAATATTTGCCGGCCAATCATCATTATTCACCTCTGATACAATCTCAAACCTGACAAATTCCTCACGGTCCCTACTTAAATGTCGTGCACAAAAGAATCTCTGCAGTTTTCGCAAGCACTGCCCTGCACTACTTTGTGTCTGAACTACTACAGTTACAGACTAAGGGGGTTCGCCCATTTAGTACTGTGTTATGTGACCATGGGCGAACTTGACCTTGGATTTCTTTTTATTAAGTCGCCTAAACTAGACAAACAAAGCATGGCCGAATTCTATTTCACAAATCCAAACGCTTGCTGAGATATCGCTCACTTTGCACGTTAGAGGCTGCCATACTTTGACTGCCATTCATAAGGGTATGCCTCTTACAAGGGCAAGTGGCTATTAATTAAATGGCCTCATTTAAAGTATTCGAATTATCTATCTAGATTATTCAAATTCACTAGTCTGGTCGTCGTCGTCTTTTTCTCGGGGATTATCATTGCATACTCGAACGTTTGGAGAGATTTGAAGATAGTTTATTTATACCTTATTTGTGACAGAAACAAATAAATAAATAAATAAAAGAAACAGGGGGTGGGAGCGTTCCACACTAAGTCCCATCGATAAGCATAGGTCGGTATCGGTAGATCGTATGTAATGTGCCTGCATGAAAGCCGGATTTTGCCGTTTTTCCTTGGATGTTTGGTAAACATTGCATCAGAATTTCGCCCCTTGCAGACGATGTCTTTTCCGGCCGACACAACATTTGAAAAGTATAACTCGAGATGCTGTGGATAGATCGTGAAAAAAATTAGCAGGTGGGTCGGTTAAAGAAATGTAATGTCAAGTCCTTAGCGGCTATATACGGTATTGCTGTTAATGTTGGGAATTCAAAGATTTTGAGTTCAATTTCTGAAATTGCCATTGTCGAGATTTTTTGTGGTTTGTGGGTTTGGAGGCATAAAAGAAGTGGTGTGAGTTTGAGCCTCCTAACGGCTTTTTGAATTAACTGAAGTGCAGTTTTTTTTAGGAAACTTGGCAAGTACCCATGCAGTCAGCGTCTATTATCTAGGTTGACGATCTCTTGGTCGCGACATATCAGTTCCTCCGGCCTAATTGAGCCAGCTCCTCGGCACCCGCAGGGATGATGGTATCACGGGACCATGCCATGGAAACCAAAATGGCCGCCAGGCTAGCAACCTTTGTCTTCAAGAGAAAAAAGATAACCGCCCCAGAGTGATCAATCACACCATTAACCATATGTCAAACAAGAATGTTGGAAAAATCATATGAAAGATGTAGTACAGAATCAGTATGTAACTTTTGAATTACTTTTTCCTGGAGTTGTCCCCACGGCATGTTGGTATTTGTTAGCTGAGTACGTGTTCGCTGCAAATCCAGGTTGGCAGTTTTTCGTAACAAGCAGTTTTTAGTATTGGGGACCAGGGAAACTGGCATACCACAGCACTATGTCTTCCCATTGTTATCGAGGTTAGTTCCAACATGGCACAGCCTGGGGATTACAATTTCTTTTAGCAGAAGATTCTAGTATTAAAATAATATAAGAGGAAGAAGAGTACTGGCGCGATGATATCTCAAATCAAAGTTAACCAACTTTGCTACAGCTGGATTGCATTTGAGTGTATCGCATTTAATTTTCCACACCATCAACAAAATCTTAGAGTGTATGGAATAGAACATATTCACTGATTTACCGATAATATCTCTAAAGTAAATGGCGACTGTAAAGAATTACAAACTTGTGACAAACATGTTCCAGTCGGTCGGTCAACCAAAATTAATCAACCAAAACGTTAAGGAATACAAGAGGACCCAGCACGTACTAGTAAAGACAGACCCGATCGAAATGATTGATATCTGCAAGAGTCAGTCTCTTCTCCTCATGAACTGATATACTAGTATCTGAAAAAGCAGGGACGGTACGACAAAAATAAGAAAGGTGGAGATTACTACGACCTCACCATTCGAGCGAGCAAAACTTCGAACAAAAATATAGCCTTACCCAGCACAATACCCATAATTCTATTCATAGCCACAAAAAATAAAGTTGTATCTCCATATTCCTACCGCTAGAAAACAGAAACCGCGGGAAACCGAGCTATGAACGTACTGATCAAAGGGTGAGCCGCCAGGCCGGTAAACAAAGGGCAGCTGCCGGCGAAACAAAGGTGCGCAGCGGGCAGGTAATGCCGTGCGCTCTTCTCTTTACCACATATCTAGGTTACAGAGCACATTGTCGACGTTTGATACCATAGTTTTACCGTACACATACCACTGACGTGCTAGGTAGATGTGGCATGAAAATGAAACCCGTTGCATAAGCTTACAAGACTCTCAGAACTACCAAATCCCGTCGTGGTTGAAGGTTGCAACAAATGATGTTACCAACATGCCTGGGATGCACATGTTTGGCTTCAGGGTACAATCTGCCAAATATATAAATATCTAAAGACTTTGGAGATTTGCGCGGGAGGCTAAAAAGTTCGTCGACCGTGTAACGCCAGCTCTAAACCAGCCCGACTTTAAGCAGCTACAGCGACGACGACTCCACGTGCTATTAAATGGCAATCGGTAATCTCCAAGCAGATTTCTTAGTGGGCAAGGGGAGTCTATTGGCCAGCTCGTAACCAGTTGGTCGTACGGCTGTATGGGCTGGACAATAGACTCCCATCGTTCTTGAAAAAAAATCTACCTCGAAGATAGCATTTTGGCAGGAAATACGTTCGAATGATTGGCAAAAACAAACACGCGCACACAAAAGGACAAACACAACAGAGAGCAACAACTGGGTTGATTGTCAATACAACATTCAGTACCCACCTGCTGTCTATAACTTGTCTTCTAGCACGACGGCTGTATGGTGAAGAAG